CTCGGGGATCTCCTGCACCTCACACAGCCCACCCCACCTCCTGGCCCCGGCCATCCCGCCCCAGACAGCGAGGCTCCCCAGGCACAAGCCGCTTTGTGGGAGGCTGCATCAGCCCCGCTTAGAGAAATCCCTTAATCCCCCGGCCAGAGCAAGCAGTAATCCCCCGGGTGCAGCAGGATTACCAGCACTGCCCACTCCCCCTCGCCCCGGCGCTGGGCTCGAGCTGAGTCGGGGCCCAGCTCTGGACACAGTGCCAGGACGGGATCGTGCTCCCCACGGCCGCTCACCAGTGCTGCAGCTCCGCAGGGGCGCGGCGACGCGCACGACACCGCTGCCCAGAGGCGTTTGCACCTGCACCGCCGCGCTCCGTCAGCTCCGGCCCAGGGATGGGTTTGGTCTCACCGCCGTCCCCGCGGGGAGATGCTGGGAAGGGGGTGGGAGTGCAGCCCCACGCCCTGGCAGGAGCGGGGGGAGCCCGCATCTGTGCCGCCAGCTGCTCACCCCGGGATTTGCGCTCTGCCGAGGCAGACGACTGGAGAAGGGTCGCGCATCGCGGGGCAGACACTGGCGTCAGCACAATCCCACCAGCGAGAGCCTCCCCACCGGGCTTCCCACCACACCACGGCCTTGGCAGACAGTCCCCTGCAAAACCAACAGAGCTCAAGGGCTTTGGGAGAGCTGCAGACGGCGATGCCCCCACAAAGGGACGGCGGTGCTGCCCATCCTGCGGCACGGTGAGCCGGCAGTTTCTGATGCTGACAGACTACCCAGGACACTTTCACAGACCTGCTCCCTGCAGCGCTCTCCTGCTGATGGGCTGCATCCAACAACGCCCGTGCTGGGCTGCGCACCAGCGGGGCCAGGCGCTTGTACCTTATCTCACAGAGTGAACTCCCCAGGGCCGAGCACAGTCACTTCTGGGGTGGAACAGCAGCCTCCTAATCAGCTGCTTTGCACAAGTGCAGCAGGCAGGAAGCCGGCCGTGAGCCAGCACTGCCAGCGTCTTCACCAGCACTGGCACTTCCCGGGAAGAACAGTCACCCAGCGTGGCTCGCAGCAATGGGACCTTGGTTTCAGACCTCACCCAGACTCCAGCCTCCCCCTCAGCAAAGTCCTCGCTCCAGGAAAACCCACCTGCCTACCCACAGGAGCCTGCCCCAGAGGGTCGAGGCACGGCATGCTCTGTGCACATGGAGGACGCTGGGGAAGCAACCTGCACGTGCATGCGAGAGGGGACCTGAAGCCCCTGAGCTGCCTTGCCCTGCTCAGCCCACCCTGGGAGCGGGCCCTGGGCACACACAGGGCGCTCCCGTGGCAGACGGACACGCTCCCGAGCCGCGGTGGTTTGTGAGACGTTCAATGGGCGCCGTCAACAGGAGCCTGCCCTGCAGATCTGCAGAGCCCAAACTCAGACAGCGCTCAGCGGCAGCAGCTGAATACAAAGTGCGAGCGGAGGGAAGGCACGCAGGCGGCAGGTCCTGGAGCCCCGCAGGGTCCCACACCACAAGCAGGGGGTCCCACACCGCAGGCAGGGCTGGCGCCACGGGCAGCGGGTCCCACACTGCGG